TTTGTAACATAATCGAGCTACCACAAGAATGAGTCAAAATGTTCCCAGACAATATTTATTTCAAATGACGGGCTTTATGATACATATCATTAGTCCTTTAGCTGACTTCTGGCTTCACAGAGGGGAGGAGCATCAAAGTGAGAAAAAGTGGAGAGGGGGGACAGAAGAGTGATTGATAGATGTAAGAGAGACAGACAGACACACAAAAAGCCAGAGAAATGGTAAAATGAGTACCATGGAAGGGGCCGAATATGACATACAGTTGGGTCATGGTAGTTTGAAGTCAGAAGTCAACTGCCAGTTTATAGACTTTTTGCCGTATAAGAATACGTTGCCCAGTGTGCACCACGTGGAGGCATGTTTATCGCACACTCCTCCCAGAAAACATTGTTATAACCTTAAATGGAACAAGATTTGCCGGTTTTTTTCAAGTTCAAACATGTCGTTTATGATTGGATTAGACGTGTTTAAGGTGGGAGAGTGCAACTTGATGACTACCCACAAGGAGGGAGACTCACCACAGCAAGAAGGGAAGAAAACTCCACTCTTGTGCAGGATCTAGTGGAATAAGATGGAGGAAATTGCTAATGAAGTAGGAATTGCACGAGCATCAGCATTTTCACTTTTCACCGAAAATCTTGGCTTGAGCAAGCTCTCGGTGGACATGGTGGGCTCCAAAAGCGTTGTAGGACCCCAAAAACTAACCCAAAGAGAGCTGGGCTTTCTTTACCAACTGTGGTAAAGGTGGAAGCAAATGAGGTGGATAAGTTTTTAAGCACTGTGTTACCTGGAGGTGACGTCTTGATCCTCCAATTTGACGCATAAAACAAAAAATTCAACCAAAAGAATGTCACGCAAAGGGAACATCTAGGCCTGTCAAGTTCGAAGCTGTAAGGTCTGTTAAGAAGATCATGGCCACTATTTTTTCGAGATTCAAAAGGACTGATACTGATAGACCATCGAGAAGGTCAGAAAACAATTACCCCCCAGTTATTGTGAAGAAGTGGAAGACACAGGAATTTGAAATGGCACAGGAAACTGTACAGCCACATTTTATTTCATCATGACAATGCCACTGCACATTCTTTGAGGGCTGTCAGGGCCCTGTTGTGGGGATTTCGATGCGAAACACTTCCACATCCTCCTTATGGTCTAGACCTAGCTCCTTCAGACCTTTTTCGTTTCCAAAGCTGAACGAACACCTTATAGGCACTCGAGTTGTCTTTAGATAAATCGAAGAAGGCAAGTGATTTCATGGTGCTAGAGACAGACACCAAAAGTAAGTGTAAGACAACAATTGAGCCTCTGTATAAAAATGAATGTAATCGATTTTTAAATAAATAAATAATGGAATTTGTCGGCGAACTTTTGACTCACCTTCCTATATAAGGTCGGAAAACGGAAATGTCAATAGCAGTGCTATTTTATGCCATCAAGTGTCCTTACAAAGTCGCCTTTTGCTTATGCTTGTCTTGCGAGATTTACGTGAAATGCTCTCATAAAATTGCTTGGTAACAAAAATGGTAGCCACATTTAGCGCAAATAACAAATCCAACCACAGAAGGCTGGTGTTTCCTTTTGTTTCTCTCTTTTCACTGCGGGAACTTTGTGGCATAATGATACGGGAGTGGTAAATGTTGTTTTGTGATATTGCATGCATTCTGGCAGCCAATTAAATGTATGTTTAATATTGGGGTGTGCGATAGACTTGCCTCCACGTGGTGCACCCTGGACAACGTATACTCCTGCGGTAAAAAGTCTATTAACCGGCAGTTGACTTCTCACTTCAAACTACCATGACCCCACTCTATGTCATATTCGATTACTTCCTCAGTACCCACCTCACCTTTTTTCTCTTTTACATCTTTGAAACACTCTTCTGTTCCCCTCCCCCTCTCGACTTTTTTTCACTTTGATGTCCCTTCCCTTCTGTGAAGCCTGAAGTCAACTAAAGGGCTAATGATAACCGTCAAAACGCCTGCCATTTGATATAAAAAAAATAAATAAATGTTTAAAATTTGAGAAAAAATATTCCTATTCGCAATCCTTTAATCTGAGCAGTTAAACTTGTGGTTGTTCATTTCTCTTAAATTTGGTTGCGAGCAAAATTATAAGCATTTACAAGTTTTCTTTTAGTGGGGCTTGTTAGGGGTAATTTCTGTTTCCAAAATTCAACACTCGTTTTTTTTGTAAGGGACCGAAGCTTCTTGAAATCTCTCTGTTTTGAAATTTGAACCCTTACCGGACCTAACCACTGCGACTGTTCACTCACTGAGATGTCCAATTTCTCTTTCAAGAGTGCACACACACACACACACACACACACACACACACACACACACACACACACACAAGACCTATGTATTTATTATTTTTTTATATCAAACTTTTTGTTCCTTTTTTAATGATTTTATTCGTTGTTCCTTTCAGAATACTCTCAGCCTTTATTCGGACTCTCAACAATGCAGCCAACGCAATTGTCTCAGCTCACAAGTCTCGTCACCTAGATAACTCCGCATCTCGTTCTCAAAGTACTCGTTTGGCTTCGGTTTTCGCCTACACCGCTGTTCCACACCTTCTCACCTGCCTGCTTGAGCATATCTTTGGTGGCGATGCAGCTTCTCACCTCTGGCAACTGCATCAGGAGAATGATGCAACTCCAACCACCTCTCAACTCATCTCCAGATTCACTAAAGAAGTTTGTGCCCCCATTTTCGAGCAGTGGGCCCAGCTGACAAATGGTCCGTTGCGAGAAGCTCAGATCTTTCCTTCCAATGCGGAGAATGCAAGGTCCGATAAAACTTTACAGGCCGAGGACTTGAAAAATGTGGTGGATAAACCTCTAGACAGCTCGGGAGAACCAGAATCTTCAAATAATGCTCAACATGAGACAGTTACTCCTTTAATAAGCGAAACTGCCACAAACGAGGTGATTAAGACTCTTGAGGAGCCTATTCTGAACTCTGCTTCTATTAAAGAGGAAGTGTCGCTTGAAAATAATGCATCGATTTCTAATCAACCTTCAATCATTATTCCCTCTAGCGTTGTTCAGTCCCCTATAGATCAGCAAACAGTGCCTATGGTGGAGGGACTGCAACTACCACAAATTACCAATGCGGAAGATATAGAGGTCGCCTTTCTCAAAGAAAGTGTTCCATCTTCGGAACCAAACGAAGTACTCCCAAATAAGGTTGCAATTTCTGAAGTGCCATTTAAATCTGATGAAGGTGAAAGCCTGCCGAATGCTACTTATGCTTCGGCTGTTCGGTCTCCTTTGGCCAGTGAATGCCAATTGTTGTCAGGATCAACACCATCGCCTCTTAAACGTGATTTATTAAAGACCAGACACCAAGAAAGCCAAGAACCCTTAAGCACAGCTAAATCTGAATTGGATGAAGATGTAGTTGCAAGCAAACAGAAACTTATTGAAAATTCAAATACTTTCGGAAATGATGATTTAAAGTCAGAGATGAAGGGAGGTTTTGTCGAAAGCGAGCCCAAAATCGAAACCTTTTCGACAGAGCGTACACCTTCGGAACCTACTTTTCAATTTTCTGAAATCGACCATATAAAAGAAAATTTAGTTGATGAGAATAGCAGCTCTAGCGTTCTTGATCGAGTTGGGCTAACAGCGGATTCTGAGGAAGTTGAACAATTTACTGCCACGAATTCTGGAATGAAGCAAGATTCTACTGAAATTCCGCTTGAACGTATTGATGCGGAGGATAGACGAGGCAAACAAATCGCTCAGGATTTCACTACTGGTTGGAGTTCAGTAGTAACTTCTTCAAATTTGAAGTTAGAGGAGCCTGATGAACCTAGCCGTAAAAGGGATGATTTGCATTGTACTGAACAGTCCTATTCGCAGGCTGTCAATCCAGAAGTTTCCGACTTACCGATAACAACCGGTCATGGTGAGTCCGCTTCGATGTTTATGGATCAGCCTGAAAATGTTGTGAGCGATTCATTCAATGCGGAAAATAACTCCGAAGTAAATAACGCAGAATACACAGAGTCTATCGTGAAAGTAGAAAATGTTAAGATTGAAGAAAGCTTCCCTAATCAAGTGGGAGGTATTTACGATTTGCCAGCTGTTCAGAACCAAATCAGTGAAGAAGTGGCGTGCAATACGGCAACAGAGGAAACGGAACTCGGAAGCGAGGAAATTCTTTCGGAGTCTGAGTTGAAAGCATCCTTAGATTCCCCTGAAGTGCCTAGCTACGCTAAAATAGAAGATAGAGAAAAAGATGGTATGGAAAAGATTGACACTGATATCTTGAATAGCGTGGCTGGACACAGTGGGATCAAAGGGGATATTTGTTCTCTTAACACCATTGGAAATAATATTGAGCCTTTTTTACGCGATGTCGGTGCTGAGTCAATAGATTTGAGTCCATCATACGCCCACTTATCTTCTGAATGCAAAGAGCCGTGTGGTCGGACTTGTATTCCTGGTCTTTCAAACGCTAAGCTAGAGAACTCCGAGGATGTTCATGAAGTTGTTGGTTCTGAGACTCCAACACAAAGGATATCAACTATGATTGAACTTGAGGAATCAATAAATATAGATAAAGACGGGAGTGTTTGGAAGGAAAAGGATGAACTGTATTCAGATTCGCTTACCGAAGAAGGTGCTTCTCGTACCAACGATAATCTGACCCGAATTGAGCATCCGGAAGGCAATAATTTCAAAACAGAAATTTCGGAAGAAGTTTCCACTCAAAGCATTGCAAATCCCACAACACAGGAACAGACTTCTGATGTTAATTCACCAAAATGTGTAGCTGATCAATCAGTTGAACCTGACGAGTCGTGGCAAGATGGTGATGATTTGCTTAAGGGGACTGAGATCGAGCTTGCTAACCCTAATGAATGTAAAACGGACGTTGAACCTGCTGTTCAATCTAATTTAAGTTCCCTATTCGGAAGCCAAGAAATTGAGGTGAAACCTGAGCCAAGAGAACCATCGTCACAAAATATTCTCTCTGAAGAAGATCGAAGTTCAAGTCTACCAGAGGTTGATCATCAGGAAGTCGGCACTGTTAAAGATGCCTGTGGAAGTAGAGAGGACAAAGGGGTGGATCTTGAAGTTGAAGGAATTGAGGAGAGTGAAACGCCTCCAGCCCTCCAATCTGCTGAAGCTATTACTACCACTTTATCGGGAGAAGTTAATGACATCAAGAGATCTTTGAATTGCGCCGCAAAATCCGAGGCTTTTGATCTATCCAGTCTTACGACATTCGTTTCGGAGCCTTCAGAAGACACTAAGATATCAATGGAGACAAAAGTTGGTGTTAAACAGTATGCCGCATCCGATGATAATTGTGTGCAGTCAAACCTTGACATCTTAGTCGAAACCCAGGTGACGGAAATGGAAGCTGGGCCATTGATGCAACTTCCTGAAGAAAAGCAAAAGTCAAATTTTCTTGATGGCGAATATCAGGATGTCGAATGCGCCTGGGTTGATGACGTAAATGAATGGGACGAAGTGGGTAGAATAGATATTAATGAAATTGAAGCCAAGAAAAGTCTAACTTCTGCTGAAACTGTAATCCCATCAAAGGAATCGAGTAACATTGGAGAATTTCTGGATTATCAAGTGAACTCCGAGGGGACTGGACCATCCGATTTTACTCCATCGAATAAAGAGCTTCTTGAAGATATCCCGGTTCTTCCTAATGAATTTATCACTACTGTTTTGTCAAAAGAACAAGATGAAAAGACAAAATCTCTGGATTATCATGCAAAGTTTGAATTTTTTGAACCAACTTCTATTCCATCTGTTAATGAGATTTCTGAAGAAGAAGAAGGAGAAGCAAAAGCAGCAGAAAATTTAGACGGTTGGGGTGGGGATGCAGACTTAGACATTGGTGAACTGGAAAATAAAGGAAATTTTGATCTCACGGAAGTCACTGAATCGGTTATAGCACCTCACAATTTTGGTAAAGCTGATGTAGCAATTGCTTCCTCTGAAAAGTTTGCCGATTTAGTTTCGATGAAATCTGATCACAATTCACTGGGGGAGCGACATTCCAAAGAGTCGGAAAATCCAGGCCCTCTTCCATGTGGTTCCCCTAAAGCTGCTGACGCCTTGGATGAGAATAGCAATGCCTTGAGTGAGGGAGGGAATCTTGACGAAATCAAATCTTCTTCTGGACTTATCGGTAGACATCCTAGTGATGAAAACTTCTCGAATGTCGAAATTGCTGGAGAGGAGTCTGAGAATGCTAATTTTGGTAGTTGCGAATGCTGGGAGGATGATAATTGGCTTGAAGAACGCGATCCAACCGAAACCCTCCCTCAGGTGTCGAAATCGGTTTTCCCAGACCCAATTACGCAGAATACTCAAGCAGGGTTAGGGATTGAATTGGAGGTTTCTGATAAGGAAGGAGAGCAGACCTATTGGGATGATGACGATGCTACTTGGGGCGAAGGTCCAGACCAAATTAAAGTCTTTCCTATAAACTCAGAAACAAATGCTCAAACTCCTGATGAGAAAAATACTCTTGAAGCAGCACCTGAGTTGGAATCCACGGGCTGGGAAGGTGATGAAAACAATTGGGGTGATGACATTGAACTGCAAAGAGATGATATGGAAATCAATAAATCGATTGCTGACCAAACCTCACCTTCGACTACCTCTCTTTTCGTTCCTGCTTCCAATGAGGGCGATTCCGGTACTATTCCAAAGGATCGATCGAAAGGAGCCAAAATAGACTGAGTGTGCGGATCTTGAATTTCTTTTGTATTTTCATCTGTCTTTCATTATGAATAAATTATATATTTTGCCTTGATGATGTGCCAATATGAGTTGCTATTCCTTCCTAATTGTATCAAAGTGTTTCCCAAAGTGGTATAAGAAAGCGAACAAGGTTTTTTCCCTAGGATGCTAAAATTGCCTTTTTTCTGGATATTATCGCATATTCATTTGTGTTATATTGTAACTAGGCGTTAGTGCCTGATCGACAACTCTTGATTAAAATCGATATGTGGGGCAAATTTGGTTAGCTAACTGACAGGGGTGTGGCGAAGGTTGGTGTGTTGCCATGGCGACTGTAGCAAGTCTTCTCTACTTCCCATTTCGCTCTACCCAGACGTTATAACGGGTTGTGTAAGCACACTGGTATGAGGTGTAATACACTTTCTCAGTCTCCGTGGAATGAAGCTACAACTCTTTATTTATATGTGTAATATTGATTCGCCCCGATAATGATTGGCTGGAGTGTATTGAACCAATCATTTATTTCAAATGGCAGGCGTTTTGATGATTATCATTAGCCCTTTAGTTGGCTTCGGGCTTCACAGTGGGGAGGAACATCAAAGTGGGGGAAATTCGAGAGGAGGGGTGGAAGAGTGATTCACAGATTTAAGAGAAACAGACAGACAGACACAAAGGTAGAGAAAAGGTAAGATGAGTGCTGTGAAGTGGTCTAATATGGCATCCAGTGGGGTCATGGTAGTTAGAAGTCAGAAGTCAACTGCCGGTTTATAGACTTTTTTACCGCATGAGTATACGTTATCCAGTGTGTACCACGTAGAGGTGAGTCTATCGCCCATCCCGAAGAGTGGAATATAAAAACATGTGTCGAGAGAAGGGAGATAAATTGTCTCTGAGTCTTAGAAAAAAGCTTGTGCGTAAACTAATGCTTGAAGGTAATATGGATGTATAACGGAGAGGTAAGTTTAGGATAATTACAATTTCTTCCTAAGTTAATTCACTGCAAGAGGATTCACGTCGATTTCGCAAGATATAAAGAGCTGAATTAAGCGTTTGATTGTTCGAAGTTCCACTTTTTTGAACCAGAAGACACCAGATAACATCTCTAGACTAAATCGTCTTAGCAGAATATTCCGACTTCAACGGTTTAGATTAACGAACGAGCTTAATTCGACCGCTGAAGAATATCAGTCATTATCAAATTACCCTGTCTCATAGTCGAACAAGGATTGCCACTATATTTTAAAATAAAGTTTTCCCCTTTACATAGCATTTGGAATAAATAATTTAAATTAAGACCCAATTAGATACCCCAATATGGAGTTCGGATGGGCGAAGAGATAAACGAAAATTCTCTGTTTATATTTACCCTAGTTGATGGGGTGCGCAATCGACTTACCTCCACGTGGGGCACATTGGGCAAGCGTATACTCATACGACAAAAAGTCTATTAATCGGCAAAAGACTTCTGACTTCAAATTACCATCACCCCACTGTATGTCATATTCGACCACTTTCACAGTACTCACTTCACCTTTTTCTCTATCTTTGTATCTGTCGGCTCTTTTACTCTTGTGACTCACCCTTTTGTTCCCCAACTCCACTTTTTGTGGCTTTGATGTCCTCCCATCCCCCACCTGTGAAGCTCGTAGTCAACTAAAGGGCTAAGGATAACTATCATAAAGACCGCCATTTGATTAAATAAAGAAATTAATTTATGCTACTTGTAAAATGGGCCTATTTGATCCCTACTCCCATGTCGTGTTTCTGAATTTATGCGTTTTGGTTGCAACCGTGATTTAATTCCCCAATATCACTTGTATATTTTATGGCATCTTTTGCCTGAAGTACGACGGTTTAATTTTAATATGCTCGGGTGGTTGCCAATGCGTCTTAAAATTAAATTAAATAGTTCCATTAAACTAAGCTCCCAATTTATTGACTATTTTTATGACCTTCAAACGATCATCATAATATAAAACGAAGAATTAACTAAAAAATGAGTGAATTAGAAAGTATAGATTTTGCAGAGGCGGGTAAAACAGCTAAAAGTCAAGGTGCAATTCCATCGAACTTTGGGGGAGAAGACATAAGATGATTAAAAATTTGAGAACTTATTATAACAAATGGCAGACGTTTTGATAGTTATCGTTAACCCTTTAGTTGACTTCGGGCTTCACAGAAGGGAGGAAGAACATCAAAGTAAGAAGAATTCAGTTGGGGGAATAGAAGGGTGTTTCAAAGATGTAAAAGAAACAGACACAAAGGCTCAGAAAGGGTAAGATGAGTGCTGTAAAATGGGTCAAATCTGACATACAGTGGGGATGATGGTTGTTTGAAGTGAGAAGTCATCTACCGGTTTATAGACTGTTTTGCCACATGAGTATACGTTGCCCAGGGTGCACCACGTGGAGGTAAGTCTATCGCACACCCCAAAATTTGAGAACTAGAAGCATTATCCCTGAAAGCCAACTCCATTCGGGTCCAGCTTCGGTAGGAACACCGTAGTAGGTATAGAGATAAGATCTTGCTGTCTGATAGCAGGTTTGATTATCCCCTGAAACTGATCGATAATTCCCGATTCAAGAAAAATGTTTATTTCAGCTTGTCTCAATCCAAAATAATGCAAGGTTCCGCTTAGTATTACAAATTCGAGTATTCTTGTGACTACACAACATAGTAAAGTAAAATACTTCATTCACCTGTTTAATAATTAATGCAATCATCATTTCAAAATGATTAATTTAAACAAAACCCTTTATTTTTATTCATTTAAATGAACGTCCAGAAAAGCCGCATGTTGCCAAGTTCGCAAAAGGTGGCATTTTGCTTATTTGTTATTCAGTGGAAAAAAATATGTACTTCATAAAATTTTTAAGTGAGTAAACGGAAGACCATTTCGGCATCCACTTAATTATTTTAACTTTCTCGTTTCGTTTTTCGCGCATTTTTATTGTGCACTTTTCCATTAATAAATAAAATTGTTTTAAATCAACCCAATTTTAACAAAAGTGATTAATTTTTATTATCATTATTAAATAAGTACAGGGTGGCCAGAAAACGCTACCGGTCTCACCAAGAAGAGGAAGCAGCATTCAATCGCTTGTGGAAAATTTCGACTGAACGTTCTACTCTAACTCCGGAAGGTTCCTTGGAAGGTTCTCGGCACAGTTTTCTTGACGAGTTGAATTTTTTAGTACCGGGAGTGCCAATTGCACAAATAATGGCCGATCGGTTTACGATCAAGGAATCCGGGAGGGGTAAAATAAAGAAAAATAGCCTTTTTATGCTTTTAAATTAATATAGCCAGGGCGTAACAACTGCAAAGTGATCATATAGGCATCTGGATTCAACTCAAGCGGAGACGACTCGATGAGTGACACAATTTGAGCAAAAGTAGTCTCCATGACTCGGAGAGTGTCCTCCTGTGCATTCCAAGCCATCTGTTTGTCTTTTTCTCCATGTTATGCCTTTGATCTCGCAAGAGTTCACCTTTCTTTGAAGTTTATTCGTATTTATCGAACCATTATTGAGGCTCATTTGTGTGAGAAGTTGACCTCTTTAACACTTGATTAAGCTCATGACAGTAAATGTCTGCATTAGGCACAAGCTCTATATAGATGCTGTTGCATGTAATTGGTTGACTGTGCCGACAATGCCTGAATTCTGACGTCAGGATGCTTCAACACATTGTTTTCTGCAGGAGATTTTCGGGGAAATCAGATCGTCTGTTGTACCCCGCCCCCATCTATCACAGTAATCGCACAGGCAAATATCCCTTTCCTTCCAGATTTCACTTCCCAGTTCTAATGGAAAGCTACCCCACTTTCCTTATTTTGACAGTTGACGTGAATTATCCTGACGTAAGTTATTATCCTAGATGATTCGTGTTGATTCCAGCCACCCAATCCAGGTGCCATTATTCGTGTGAATGGGTAGAGTTCTAAAATTTTGAGGGAGGCGCAACGTGTGTGAATACTTGCAACAAATCTGAAAAAGATGGAAATTTGTCCCAAACGCTCACTTAGTACCTACGTGAGACCACTTAATACGTGTAATTAATAAAATCTGAATTTCAAGTTGTCACCCAACATGTCAAAGAGGGAAAATTTTTGGTTGAACTTGTCTGTAAAGGAAAGATATAGTGTTTTGACCGAGGTGTTAAATTAGAGATTTTTGTGAATTTCAATACGTCACGATTTATTTATCTATTTATTTCAAATGGCAGGTGTTTTGATGGTTATCATTAGCACTTTAGTTGACTTCAGGCTTCACAGAGGGGAGGAGGAACATCATAATGAGAAAATTCGAGAGGGGGGAGAGAAGAGTGATTCACGGATGTAAAGTGAAAGGTAAGGTGAGTACTGTGTAAGTGGAGGATTGAGACATACAGTGGGGTGATGGTAGTTTGAAGTCAAAAGTCAACTGTCGGTTAATAGACTTTTTTGTCATATGAGTATACCTTGCCCAGGGTGCACCATGTGGAGGTAAGTCTATCGCGCACCCCATTGTGTAATACATAGTGACATTAATAATTAAATAATTAATTTTGGGAGAAATATGTCCTAATTTTGTAATTGTGCCATTATAGTGAATCGATGTTACCTTTCCATTTGAAACTTATTTCTTCTCTAAAACGAAATGATATTTTGTTGATTAAGAGTTCTCACGATTCATCCTTATATTTCTGCTTATCTTTCTTAGATAAAATTAAATGCGCGTTTCACAATAGAACAGACTTCTTTCGAGCATTGTTTATTCTCCTTAATCGATAATAAATTAACTCGCAGACTAAAGAACTCATCTCCACCAATTAGCACCGACTGGAAGGGAGTTAATCTCCCTAATTCCCTTACTACGCCAACACACACAAACAAAAAAAACAAAGAGAGAGAGAGAGGGAGAGAAAGGAACAATGGAAATCTTTCAAAACTAGAAATAATAATTAACATTTCTATGAGAGGGAGAAAAAGGTTAAAATTTTCTCAACGACTGTAAGAGGA